AGGCCACGGAGAAAGGCCCCAGGCCCCGCCCTGGAGGCCACGGAGAAAGGCCCCAGGCCCCGCCCTGGAGGCCACGGAGAAAGGCCCCAGGCCCCTCCCTGGAGGCCACGGAGAAAGGCCCCAGACCCCGCCCTGGAGTCTGTGGGTGGGCACACATGGAGCCATCAGGGGCTGCAGGACAGGAGGGACATGGGAGCAGTGGCCCTCGAGCAGCCTGACCACCTCTCTGCTTTCTTCCCCAGGTCCTGGAAGCTGTTGAAATGCCCATGGAGGACGCCCAGTACGCCCTGCTGACCACACAGTTAGGCTTTAAAAGAGAAGGAATGAGCTACCTTGACCTTGCGGCAAGATTTGAAGGTAGCCAATGCTGGTGGGCACAAACTGCCCAGGACACGCCAGGGACCCACCCACTGCCCAGCCATTCCTAACAACCCTAAGACGGAGTTGCCCATCACGTCCCCAGGCTGTGAACCTTCATTGAAGCAGATGCCTCCTCCTCCTCCTGCAGCTGGTGGATTCAAACCCCTGACCTTTCACTTCACATCTAAGAGTTTTAATGACAACCGTATCAGGGATCCTAGGATAAAGACTCCAAAGCAAAACCTACAACTGTCCAGGTCAATGTCGACTGGTGGTCACTCCAGGGCAGAGTAGGGCTGCCCCTTAGCATTCCCTCGGCTGTAGATGTTTACACAAGCAGACTGCCTCAGCTTTGTGCCCAAGACCTACTGGTGAGTTCGAACCACTGACCTTTCAGTCAGCAGCCCAGGGCTTTAACCACTGTGCCAAAGCCTTCTGCCATCAGGCCGCTTCTGACTCCTAACAGCCCATCAGGGACAGAGAGGGACTGCCGCATTGGACCGCCCAGAGTGTGGACACACGGGTGCCCGATCCAGAGGAGTGTTTGGTGGGCTGGAAACACAGCCTTTTTGCTTAAAGCCGAGCAGTTTAACCACTACTCCACAGGGGCCCCTCTAGTAGGGACAGTGAGAGTGTTTCCTCCACAGCCCAGCTGCGGGGGCTGACACAGTGGAAGCTGGATGGTGGAGCAGGTGCGTGGAAAGCCTGGGCAGGCCCTTGCCCTCCTGGCCTGTGCTGAGGCCACCAGGAGTCACCCAGGACCAGCCCAGTAGGAACACGTGCAGAGAGCTGGGCCTGGTACCCTTCTCCGATGAGGCCACTGAGGTGTCACCTAGCCCTGCAGAACCAGCCCAGCAGAACTGTGTGTGGAGCTGGGCCTGGTGCCCTTCTCTGCTGAGGCCACTGAGGTGTCATTCAGCCCTGTAGGATCAGCCCAGCAGGACTGTGTCACCAGGCCCCAGCAAAGAAGGGCACCTGTGCTAGAGGCCTGGCGGGCAGGGCAGGAAGACCAGGGGGAGGTCACCCTGGCCCCTGCGGTTGGGCAGTGGACTGGGTCACAATTTTTTAACGTGTACACCCTTCTGGTGGGTGAGAAGCACCCAGGATGAGCCCCCGGAGCTGGTTGGTGAGATGCAGAGCAGGAAACGCTTGTTTGGACAAGGCCGCTGGGCTTGTCCGTCCTGGTGGAGTTTAGGGGGTGAGGGCACAATGCTGTAATCAGCCTGGCTTCTGGGATCTGACCGCCTGTGTAAGCCCTTAGCCTCAGATCATGAGGTCTAGAACACTAGAGATGTTGGGGAGCCCTCTGAGCTTCCCCATGAATAAAATGGGGCTAAAAGCCCAGACTTATCAACACCATCAGGTTCTAAAGAAAAATGGTAAAAAAGAAAAATGGTGTGACATGAAAATCAACAATGGCCACATCATATTAAAAAAAAAGAATAATGGAGAAGGACTGAACCATGACATAACAGTCAAGCCCCTGAGAATCGTGACCCAGCCAAACTGTCATGTAGCCTTGACCATCATAGTCACCAGGACACTGCCCACTCCAGCACCTGGTCCTGTCAGACATACTGCTGTTTTGGATTTTTTAAAATGTTTTAAATTATTATTAATTTTAATGAAAATTTACAGACTTAGGGTTTCCATTCATTCATTGTTGCACTTTTCTCCCCTCCCAACACCCTCCCCACCTCCCTCCCAGTACATTACCCTCTTGGAAAAGTGAAAGAAAAATTCTTTCATTGTTTTACAATCCCTCCCTCCAGGACCACCCCACTATGCAGCCTTCGTTCTAGGCTCCTGTCATGACAAAAATACCTAATCACATATCCCTTTTAAACACTTCTCTCACTTTAATGCACCAGATTGTTAGAGACTGGTTCCTATTGTCACAGACGTCAAGTGTCAGATAAGGTGGGAGGTTAGTGAGGAGAAGGCAGGGTAAATGTGGGTGCGTGTAAGCTCAACATTAGAAGAGGCTACTTCCTAGGGAGTTGGGGGCACACTAAGGAGCCCTGGTGGTTTGGTACTTTAGTTTTGGGCTGCTTACCAGCAGGTGGATGGTTCAAATCCACCTTCAGCAGGAGAAGGACGAGGCAGTCTGCTCTCATTAACATTTACAGCCTCGGAAGCCCGGTGGGGATGTGTGTGCTGTGACTCAGAATTGACAGCAGTGGGTTTAGGTCAACAGTCAGGCAGAAGGCTTGTGCTTAATGCCCAGCAGCTGCTCCGTGGGAGGAAGAGGGACAGACAGCTGCCCAAAGCTGCCCGCTCGGAAGCCATGTGGGGACGCTCTGCTCCTCGCCAGGGTCTCTGCGGGTCAGGATCGGGTCTGTAGCAGCAGGTTTGGGTTTGCTTGGCTGGCTGGCATCTCGGAGTTCCTCAGTGGTGAGACCGTTAACAAGCTCAGGAACTAACTGAAAGACTCGAACCCAGGGGTGCTTTGAAAGAAAGGCCTGGAGGTAACCTTCCCAAGATGTAGCCACTGCTGACCGTTTGGGGCACAGACCTCCTCTGAAGCCGTCAGCATAAGACTAAGCAGACATGTGGTCAGAATATCCTGTTGAATTATGGTGGTGGTTGTGTGCTGGTGAGTCGGATCCGACCCACAGCTGGCCCTTCCACGGGTTTCAAAGACAATTAATGGCACAGGAGGAGATTGCCCATCTTTCTTCCACAGTGCAGCTAGTGGACTCAAACCGTGTACCTTTGCATTGTCAGCATATTTTCTTACCACTAAGCCACTAGTATTATATATAGCTAATAGTAGAATTGTTGTCGAGTCATTTGTGACTCATAGCTCTGAACCCTTCCCTGTCCTGAGCCAGTTTCACTAATTCCAACACACCAAACACCATTTGCCCAGTTACCATATCAATCTGTCTCCTCCGAGGTCTTCCTCTCCTGTGCTGTCCCTCCACCCTTCCAAACATGATGTCCTTCTCCAAGGACCGGTCTCTCCTGGCCATGTGCACAAAGCACGTCAGAAAGAGCTTCAAAATCCTAGCCTCTAAGGAGATAATTTGTTTCACCCTCTCCAAGACAGACATATTTGTTTTCTTGGTGGTCCATGGTATGTTCAAGACTCTTCTCCAGCACCACAATTCAAAAACATCAGTTCTTTTTCTGCCATCCTTAGTCATTGTCTAGCTCTGTGATGCACAGCAAGTAATTACAAGACCATGGCCTGGATCAGGTGCACGTTAGTCTCTAGACTGACACTGTTGCTTTTCATTTCTCTGGAGAGGTCCCTGACCACAGATTTTTCCAATAGAATTCATATTTTGATTTTCTGACTGCTGGGACCAGAAGTGTTAACTATGGATTTGAACAAACTGTAATTGTTAACAATCTCAATCTCTTCTCCATCTAATATAGTGCTGCCAGTTGGCCCAGTGGTGAGAATCTTTGTCTTCTTGATGTTGAGCTTCAATCCATATTGAAGACTACAATCCCTGACCTTCTGCAGCAAGAGCTTCAGGTCTTCTTCAGTTTCAGCAAGCAAGGTTGCATCATTTGCATAACATAGGCTGTGGATGAGTCTTCCTCCAATCCTGATGCCACCTTATTCCTCATAAAGCCCAGCCTTCCCTATTATCTGTTCTGCATATTGAAAAGGTACAGAGACAGGATGCATCCTTGATACACTCCTTTCCTGATGTTGAACCATGCAGTGGTGTGTCCCTGCTCTGTTCTGATGACTGCCTCCTGGTCCAAGTGTAGGTTTAGCATAAGCACGATTAAGTGTTCTGAGGTTCCCATTTTCCTCCAGGTTAGTCACACTTTGTTGTGATCCACACAGTCAAATGTCTTTGCATCATCAGTGAAGCACAGGTACACATTCCTCCGGTCCTCTTTGCTCTCTGCCAAGATCCACTGACATTGGCAATAATGTCTCTAGTGCCACGACCTCTTCTAAACCCAGCTTGTATTTCTGGTAGTTCTCTGTCAATGTCCTGTTCCAGTCATTTCTGGAGAATCTTCAGCAGGATTTTGCTAGTGTGTGATAGTGTTTGATAATTTCTCCACTTTGTCCGGTCACCTTTTTTTTTTAATGGGAATAAATGTGGATCTCTTCTAGTCATTTGGCCAGGTAGTTGTCCTCCAGATTTCTTGACACAACCTGTTGAAAATGTCCAGGGCAACATATGTTTGAGGAAATACATCATTTGTTATTCTGTCAATTCCTGGGGCTTTCTTTTTTGCCAACTCCTTCAGAGAAGCCTGAACTCCCTCACTCATCACCATTGCCTCTTGATCATGTGTTGTTTCTTAAAGTTCTCCTGTGTCAGCCAATTCTTTACAGTGATCAGGATTGCACAGTGACTGTATACTCCTTCCATCTTCTTTTAATGCTTCCTGAATCATTCAGTAGTCTACCCATGGCATCCTTAAGCATTGTAGCTCGCAGCTTGAATTTGTTCTTCAGTTCCTTCAGCTTAAGAAATCCGAAGTGAGTTCAGCTCTTTTGATTTTAGGATTCCGGCTCCTTGTATATTTCATTATAATACCTTGCCTTACCTTCCTGAGCTGCCCTTTGAAATCTTCTATCCAGCTCCTTAATGTCTTGATTTCTTCCCTTTGCTTTGGCTGCTTGGCGCTCTCGTGCAATATTCAGAGTCTATTCTGATATCCATCTTGGTCTTTTCTTCGTCTTCACTCTTTGTAATGACCTTTTGCCTTCTTTGTGGATGATATTCTTGATATCTTCCCACAGCTCATCTGGACTTCATTCATGATAGTGTTCAAGGCCTCAAACCTGTTCCTGAGGGGGGATAGGTTCAAGATCAAATTTGGATTCCTGTAGATATGATTTAACCTTCTTTAGCTTTAGTTTGAACTTGCGTATGAGCAGTTGATGGTCTGTTCCGCAGGCAGCACCTGGCCTAGTTTTCACTACCGATGTTGAACTTCCTTCCACAGATGTAATTGATCTGATTCCTGTGTGTTCCATCAGGTGAGGTCCATGTGTACAGCCCGTAGTAGTGAATCTCACATCTCTGTCTTTAGAGAGTGATTTTAGGACAGATGATGAGGCAAGGACTGTCCCTCCGGGGTACTGGACAGCTGCCCGAGACTCAGCCTCTTTGAGGAGGGGCAGGGAAGCGCACCAGGTGAGCACCTCAGAGCTGCCCGGGGGTGTTAGGGTTGAAGGCTGCCTGAGAGTCCTTCTTTCAGTGCCCTGGAATGGACTCCAGTTCCAGGCAGCCCTGTGTGTGCACAGATCGAAGCCCTGCCCAGCCCTGTGCCGGCCTCGCAGCCTCTGCTGCACTTGAGTCTATGGCGGCATCACTGAGCTAATACATTCACCGTGTTAAAGGTCTTCCTCTTTGTCATGGACCCCCAGCCTTGCCAGGCATGATGTCCTTCTCCAGGGGTCAGGGCCTCCAAGTGACCAGTCTAAAGTACATGAGCCCAGATCTCCCACCTTTGCTTCCAAGGAACAAGAGTGTAGAGAACTAATTCTTCTTTTAAAAGCAAACGTATGTAAGAAATGGAAGTTAAACGGGGCAGGGAGGAGGGAGCTAAGCTGTGTTCAGGAGCAGTGCTGGAGCAGGGCCGAGGCCGCTGTCCCAGGCCTTCGAGCCGGTAGAGGAGCCGAGCTGCAGTGCAGACGCACCGGGGCCACAGCCACTCTGCTCACTGGCGCCCTTGTTTCAGACCCAGCAACGAGCCGGCCTGTGTGGACCGCGCCTCAGCTCTCGGCGCAGACGGAGGGCCACTTGGAGGGTCACTTCCACACTGCAGAGGAGTGTCTGAAGCTTTTCCCCAAGCGGCTGAAGGAGTCCTTCCGGGTGAGTGTGGCCTGGCCCCTGCCCTCCAGTCCTGGGTCCCCCATCCCATCATGTGGCACAGGACCACAGGGGAACTTGGTCAGGGTGTGGGGTGCAGCCGGCCCCTCTCCCTCACCTGGGATGATGCTTAAGTCTGCCCCAGATTACTTTCTTCACATGGGAGGTCAGGGAGGGAGGCGCTCTGACCACTGGGGTCATCATGAATTTAGGATCCATTCATCCGCTCTCCCCCATTTCCCTCACACACCCAAGCAGCACACCCTGTCAACACATATGCTAAATACCGGGGATCCAAGAAGCATCCGGGTCAGTGGGAGACACAGATGGAGAACATGGTGTCATGCTCTTCCTGACAGAGAGCTCTGGGCACAGGACAAGGGCTCTTGACAGAGGGCTTCCTGGAGGAGACTCCTGAAATGAAGGAATCCTTGAGCCCTGTGGCTGGAAGCATGAAGCGCGAGCAGACTGCAGGTGAGGCCTCGTGAGCCTGGCAGCGGCAGAGAGGTGATGGGCATCGTCTTGTTCCTCATCGCTGCTGAGACAAACACCACCGGTGGGTGGCTTAAGCCTGTTCTCTCAGTTCAGAAGGCCATAAGTTCAAGCTCAGTGTCTGGAGGAAAGTCCCTGTCTCTTCAACATCTGTAGGCCTGGCAGCCCTCACAGATCTCCACGTGTCTGGCCTCAATGTCCCCCTGAACTAGACAGCTCACCACACGAGAACCGTGGGCAGCACGCTCCGTGCCCACCTCTTTCCTCCTGTGGTACCGAAGTCCCTCCCACCACCCCTCGCTTGTTACATTTCCAAAGACATTGACTCCTGATGCTTCCTAATCCTCCACAGTTGCACCCTGCCTTGCAGAACTGCTGCTAATTCTGCCTCGTTAACATCATGTTGTTGTCTTGTGTCATCGGTTTGGAGCTGACTCGTCGCTGTCCTCCCAGTGGGTGTTCAGAAGCTCTAAGTCACGTACAAGGAGACTGCCTGTTTGTCTCCCTTGTGACAGCTGGGGGATTCAAACCACCTGCCTCTGTGTTGGCAGCACAGCTCCTGAGCCTCTAAGCCACCAGAGTGCATAGATGTGAGCATTTACACTCATCTGGTCACAGGGGGAGGATGTGACGTGATCCTAAGAATCCTGGCCTCGCCAGGCTGACGCATATTTGGGGCAGAGTTCAGCCCAGGACGGCTTAGTGAAGAGCAGTCAGCTTGTTAGCACAGAGCTGTGACAGGCCAGGCTGCGGAATCAGCCAGCAGGCCGTCCAGCAGAGACCTGAGCTGTGTCTGCGGGGAAGAACCAGGGTGCTTAACGGGAAGGCAGAGGGCCTCAGTGTCGGCCCACCCTCCACGGGTGTGGAGGGAACAGACAGCAGGAAGTCTAGGGCTGGGGTCTTCCCGGAGGGACACACAGCTCAGCTCATATCGTCCTGCATTCTGAAACATTGCCCCTACTCTGTTGGCGAGTCACATGGTGGCCAGACCCGACTTGGAGGTGACTGTCCAGCTTGGGTTTTCCAGGGTCTGCCTTTGAGCCCGTGTCCTGTCTCCAGACCATGCATCCTAACGTGTGATTTGTGTAAATCCAGTCACCATATGCACATGCAGAGCAGATCGGTCCTCAGTTTCCACACAACCCTGAGGGTCCTGACGTTGGCTTCAGCTGGGGAGAGGTCCGCTCACGAGGCGTGCAGGCTGGGTGGAGGGAGGGGGCAGGAGGGAAGCAGGAGGGAACCAGCAGGCAGGAGTGGGGCTGCGTCCACGTCCACCTCTTCGGCTGGACGAGAAGGACTCTGAGGTGTGGGAGAAGCAGCTTATTTTATTTTATTAATTTAAATGAATATTTACAGAGAATTTGGATTTCCATTCATTCATTGTTGCACTTTTCTCCCTGCCCACCCCTCCCCTCCAGTTCACTCATCTCTTTGAAAAGTAAAAGAAAAATTTCTTCATTGATATAAAATCCCCCACCCCCACCCCATCCCGAGTACACTCCACTATGCAACCTTCATTCTGGACTCTTGTCATAACCATAATACCCAATATATATCATTTTTAAACTGTACTCTCCCTCATCTGTTTCAATGCAGTATACATAATTTATCCAATTTTTCTCAGTCTCACCTGAACTCTGATGTCAGTCCCTTTCTACAAGAATGGCACTATGCAGTATCTGTCCTTTTGTGACTGAGATATTTCACTCAGCATAATGTCCTCCAGGGTCAGCTTTTAAAGTGCTTTCCACATTATTTACCACGGCGATTGCACCTCAGAGTGCCAAGGAAATGCAGACCTATCTGTCCATAAAGTCCCAGAACATTTGAGTTCGACCATTGCATCAGTGTTTGCTGGCGTCATAAGACCCCACAACGTGCCTCTGCACGTGCAGTACCCCCAGAATGCCACATTGCCTTCTGGGGGGTGGGCTGTGTGAGGTGCAGATGGCAGCTAGGGTGTTGAGGCTGCCTCCATGACTCCCTGGTCCCAGGCTTGTCTCCCATGCTTTGCACGCTTTAATGCCCGTCCTCCCAACAGCTGATGAAGCGGGGACCTCTGTGATCCCAAGACAAAGAGCAGATGAAGGACATGTGGAGAGGTAGACTGACTTCTTCGAGGTCACAGGTCACAATGCCAGTTAGTGGCAGAGCTGGGGTTTGAAGCTAAACAGTCTGCTACCGGAGCGGGCCCATACTCACTATGCAGCAGGGTCCCTGTGGGCCCTGAGCCTCAATTTTCTCATCTGGAAAAAGGGATCCACCTCACTGCCCTTGCAGTATAACCAGCAGGATAAATGCTCCCAGAAGGCACTGTGACACGGTGGGCACCAGGCTTAGACAAGGTGACATGTCCACCTGAATCCTCAGCCCAGAGTCCTGGCCACTCTGTCCACACTGTTTTCCTATCCACTGTAGACAGAAGTTGTCAAATATCATAAAATCTAGATAAAGATGCTCATTTTGATCAATGCTTCTATAAAAGAGTCCCAATAAAAAAAGATAAAATGATGCAGCACAGAATTGCTAATTCTCATGGAATCCAGACTCTCTGGATTCATGGAAGCTGGAGAGATTCTTCAGACTATTGCTATGAGAATATCTTTAAACCTGCAACCAAAAGTGTCCCCTGAACCCTTCTTAAAACAAACCATCAGTTTATCTTACCGAGTGCAGAATTGTGCTCTTTTTAAGAACTATCTATAGGGGCTTAAACTGATAATAGCAAGTGGGAGGATGAGATCGAACCCTTAAGGAAAGTTTATGTTAATACAGGAGGAGGAGAGAGTGGAGTGGGAAGGGGGATAGTGCCACTGAATGGTAGACCAAGGTGCAGTGGAATGGGTCTGTTTTCCTGTGTGGTCTTAACAAAATTCTTAAATACGGAAGAAAATCTGTGTGAACATATTGGGAATGTGATTTGTGTACACATCCAGGAGACGCTGATAGACGGTTGTTCTGATGGTGAAGACTTGATCTGGTTGTTCTGATCCAGTATTGAAGACTTGATCCCAAAGCACTTCTCTCTCCCCCCGCGTGCAGGGTGCCCGAGACATGGCACCTCCTCTCCTGGGGAAGGCAGAGTTGGGGCAGAGGTACCCCGGAGACTGGGCTGTCCGAGGCCCCGAGAGGGCGTGTCCTCTGACCGGTGGCCTTTGCTTTCAGGACACCTACGCAGCCTTCTTCCGGACGGACACGGACAGGGACGGCATCATCAGCGTGCTCGACCTTCACAACCTGCTGCACCAGCTGCTCCTCAACATCAAGGACAAGGAGTTTCTGCGTCTCCTGGAGCTGCTAGGCCTGAGGGTCCGCTCCACCCTGAACTTCCGCGACTTCCGGAACCTGTGTGAGAACACAGCCCAAGGGACCGGTGACCCTTCGCAGTGGCTCCTTAGGTAGGAACGACCACAGGTCACATCTTTTATCACCACCTGCCTTGGCCAACCACCCCTCACTTCAAGGGAAATCACGCCAGAAATGGGGTGACTGTGTGTTAGTGCAGAGCTGTGCTCTGCACACGTCCCTGCTTTTCAGCGCCTGTTGTGGCCAGGCCTTCCTCCAAAGGCTTCTCTGGGAGCACTCGAACCACTAACCTTCTGGTTAGTACCTGCCTGTGTTAGTCATTTGCACTACCCAGGAACTCTGTGGAAAGGTTGGAATAGGTACACACAGACTAGAACCGAACATACAGCCTCAGTCTCATCCCTGTGAGCATCTTTTCCATGTTTCCCAGGGTGTATGTTATTCCATCGTCTTTTCTGTATGCAGACTATTTGCTGCTGTGGCAAATTCTTTTCATTCAAGTGAGTCCTGACTGCAGCCCCACATGAACAGAAGGAGACCTGCCTGGTCCTGCCGGGGTCCTCACAGCTGTCGGGATGTTGTGTGTAAACAGAAGTTGACACATTCACATATGCTTATTTCTCTGTATAAATCTGAGGTCGGGTGACACCTTTGAGGGTGAAGCTTCTAAGGCTTTGGGGCTGTAACGTGCATGACCTCAGCTCTGTAACATGACATGCTGTGTGCGGTCCAGTGTATGCTCTGCTGTGTGTGATGTCCATGTGTGCTGTCCAGTGCATGGTCCATTGCAGGCGTCCTGTGTGTGCCATCCAGTGTATGGTAGGCTGCATACTGTCCAATGTGTTCCACCTAGTGCATGGTCCTCTACAGGCTGTCTTCTGTGTGTTGTCCAGTGCACGGTCCACTGCAGGCCACCCAGAGTGTGCTCTGCTTCAGGCTGTCCAGTGTGTGCTGTCCGGTGTGTGCCATCCAGTGTGTGCCGTCCAGTGCATGGCCCACTGCACACTGTCTTCTGCAGGCTGTCCAGTGTGTGCTGTCCATGTGTGCCTTCCTGTGCATGGCCCACTGCACACTGTCTTCTGCAGGCTGTCCAGTGTGTGCTGTCCAGTGTGTGCCATCCAGTGTGTGCCATCCAGTGTGTGCCGTTCAGTGCAAACTGTCCCCTGCATGCTTACCCTGCAGGCTATGCAGTGCAGGCCAAGCCCTTGACCTTGGTCAGTGCACGACAGGGAGACACAGACCTTCTCCAGGGACTGATGCTGCCCCTGCCCTTCGGATCAATCTGGGCAGTAGGTGTATGATGTGGGAACTGCTGAGTTTGGGTGGCAGGCAGCTGGTCTGATCTCTTCTCCATGTTCAGGGACTCTGTTCCAGCCCCTCCCCCAGGCGGGTTTCCCTCCCAGCAGGGAGGAGAATCTCAGCGGCCAGCTGGCTGTCTTGGCTTACTTCATCCCTTTGTCTCCTTTGCACTCCCTCTTGAGGGCAGTGACTGGACTTAGTGGACAGATCGGTCCCTGTCACACAGTGCACTGTGGAGGTCATCAAATGCTCCTATGCAGGAACAGTATAGCCACTGGACAATTACTGTTATATTGACATGTCATTAACATTCTAGCACAGAGACAGTCTTCAGTGTGCTTTTGGATGGAATAATGGTTTTTTTTTAAAATTTTTTTTTAATTTTTTACCAGTTTACTTACACAATTCTTATACATTGTTTTTCACGCTGGATCTTTCCCTTTCCTTTACCCACCCGTCCCTTCACCCATCAAACTGTGTGAACCTATGGTTACCTCCCTCCCTCCCTCTCCCCTGCTCACCCTGACCCCTCTACTCCTCCCCTCCCCTCCTTGGTTCTGCATACACATTTTACTAGTTATCTTTTATTTCTACAATAATGATTTTTATACAGTATTTGTCCTTACAGGACTGAGTTAGTTCACTTAGCATAATGCTCTCCAGTCCCTTTAAGGTAGGTAGTAATTTACAAAATCTTTACTCCTGCATGCTGCGTAGTATTCCATTGTGTAAAATGAACCACAGCATCTCAATCCATTCCATTGTGGTTGGACATCTGGGCTGTTTCTATGTTCTTGCAATGTTAACACCGCTATGAATATTCGTGTCTAGTTTGTGCCTCAATTCTCATTATCTCGGGGTTTATTCCAAGCAGTAGAATAGCTGGGTCATAGGAATTTCTGTGTTCCACTTTTTGAGGAAACGTCAAACTGCCTTCCAAAGTGGTTGTACCATTTTACAATCCCACCAACAGTATTTAAGAGTTCCTATCTCTCCACATCCTCTTCAACATTTATTACTTGCTGTCCTGTTAGACTTTGCCACAGCTACTGGGATGAGATGGTGTTCTTAATAGTAATGTCCATGCACTGTTTCACCCCAGAGGTGCTGGCAGCCCCAAGGATCTCCAGTGAGTAGCTGTCTGGTCCTGACGGGGTGGCCCCCAGATGGCGACAGGTCCCAGAAGCCACAATGACGGAGCTGAGCTGCCGTGGCACCTTCCTGGCTGTGGAGGCCTTGTGTCCTGTGCGTCTGTTTGCTTCCCTGGTTCACCTTGTTTGGGACGGTCTGTTGTTGTTGTTGTTGTTGTTGTCATCGTTGTTAGGTACCACCTCAAGTCATCTCCCACAGCACGATGGCACATGGAGCAGAGCGCTGCGTGCCCCTGGGCCAGCCTCACAGTCCCTTATGAACTTGAGCCATGGTTGCAGCCACTGCGGGTCAGGCCGTCTTGTTGAGGCTTTTCCCCTTTTTCACTGACCCTCTTCCAAGCATGATGTCTCACTCCAAGCGCTGGCCCTTCCTGATAACATGGCCAGAGCCTAGAAAGTAGGTTTTATTCTTGTCTGTGCTGAAAAAACGGTGGTCTCTTCTTCAAAGAAACAATCAGGAGCACCTGCTTCCAATTGCTCAGGTCTGATGAGCCTTAATATAAGACATGATTGCTTAACATTCAGACAAAACAAAAAACAAAATTCTCCCCAGAGAATCTTTTTTTGAAGCATGTCTGCCAAACAAGCCTGGACGTTTTCAGGAACGAGGTTTGAGTCTCCCTTTCAGGAGGCTCAGCCTTCTGATTTGTACCCGCTGTCTTTTCACCAAGTGTCTACTAAGACTCCACTGTGTGCTGGACATTGCCCTGGGCAGGGGGCAGAGGCAGAACGCAGCCTCTCCCGTGAGGAGCTCACACAGATGGCTGGGAGGCAGACACAGGAAGCAAGCTCCACTGCCCTAGAGAAGGAACAGAACAGTGTGCCCTGTGCACCATGCTCTTTCAAAGCCGACACCACCTCAGAAGGCTCAGTGGGTGGCCTGGGGACAGCGGCTGCATCATGAAGGCAGCGGGATCACTGCAATGGGTTCACGAGGATGACTGCACGAAACACTTGTGATCCGGGGCCTGGCTGGTACACACAGGATCAGGAGAAAGGAGGGCTCTTTTTCTGTGTCTAACTTCACACATATAAAAAGAAATGCAGTATTTTTCTTTAAAAAGGAAATAAACAGGCAAATGATGGAGGGCCCAGGCACACAGATAATTTCTGCATGCTACTGGAGCACCTTTTTAAAAAAAAAAAATAATAAAATAAATCTCTGTATCAGAAAGAACTGACCAGCACTGAAAAATTTCAGGAAGTATCAGCAGCCAATGGTAATGAAGAAGAAAGTGAAAGCTGCATTGAAGGTATTGGCAAAAAAGCAAGGCCCCAGGAATCAATGTGATACCAATTGATTAGTTTCAATTAACAGATGCAGCCTTGGATGCACTCACAAGTCTATGCTAGGAAATTTGGAGGACAGCTTTTTTTGGCCAACAGATTGGAAGAGGTCCATATTTGTTCCATTCCCAAGAAAGTTAATCCAACTGAAAAAAAAATCATTACTAGCACATGTAAAAATGGCTAGACCAATACATAGAGAGAGAACTGCCAGAAGTTCAAGCAGGATTTAGAAGAGGCTGTAGCACCAGGGATATCATTGCTGATTTCAGATGGATCCTGGCTAAGAGTAAGAATACCAGAAGAAAAAAAATGAAAATAAAAATAAAAAGAATACCAGAAGAATGTCTATTTGTGCTTTTTTATTATGCAAAGACATTTGACCATGTGGGTCCTAACAAGTTGCGGCTGACTTTGAGAAACGGGAGCCTTAGAGAATTTGAGTGGGCTCATGCAGAACCTGGACCTGGAGCAGGAGGCTGTTGTGTGAACAGAGCAGGGAGCACTTCATGGGTTGGAATTGGGAAGGGAGTGCAGCAGGGTTGTAGTCTCTCTCCATACCTATTTAATCTATATGCTGAGAAATTATCTGAGAAGCTGGACTCTGCAAAGAGGAGTATTGCATCAGGATTGGAGGGAGATTTATCAATAACCTATATTATACAGGTGACACAACCTTGCTTGCTGAAAGTGAGAAGGATTTGAAGCACTTGTTGCAGAAGATCAAGGAATACAGTCTGCAGGATGGATTGCATCTCAATGTCAAGAAGACAAAGATTCTCACTGCTGGATGGATAGACAGCATCAGGATGGATGGAGAGGAGATTGAAACTGCCAACAGCTTCATCTTGCTTGGATTCACAATTAACACTCTTGGTATGAGCAGTCAGGAATATCTGCAGTCAGGGACCTCTCCACATTATTGAAGAATAATGATATCAATTTGAGGACTAAGATGTATCTGATTCAGGCCATTTTCTTTTGATCACTGCTATGCATCTGAGAACTGGACAGTGAGTAAGGATAAAAGAAGAAGAATTGTTGCCTTTGAGCTGTGGTGTGGGAGAAGCACACTGAACATCCCATGGACGACTGAGAGAATGAACAGATAAGCTTGGAGATGGTGAAGCTGAAGTGCTCTTTGGAGGCAAGAATGATGAGACTTTACCTCACATACTTTGGACATGTTGCTAGAAGGGGCTATTCCTTGGAGAGGGACATGATGCTGGGAAGAGTGGGGGGTTAGCAAAGGAGAGGAAGTCCCTTAACCAGGTGGATTGGCACGGTGACTGCTGTAATGGGCTCTTGTGTGTCAGGAAGCGTGAAGATGGCACAGGATAAAACAAGGTTCAGAT